TCTCAATCCTCGATAACGACTTCATAATTGCTACTCTGAAGTCTGTCTCTGACATCTTGCTTATATGCATATCCATTAGGTCTGATTCTTTTCTTTGTTGTGGGTTCCTTCTCTTAGTCATTCTTTGGAGGGTGGTTGAGGGAATGTACAGAGTCCACAGTATTAACCATGACCCAAGCAAGACAACCCCAGGGTTGTCTTCCTCTTGTTCTTCCAGCCTGTCTTCTGGGGGAGGGGCCTGCCGCACTGTTAACTCAGGCAACCCTCCTTGGGCAGAGTTGCAGTGACCCCTGTCGGGGGGGGTGGTGGGCTCAGTGAAAACTGTTTTTTTGAGCTTTTGTTCTTTGGTGTTCGGTCACCTTCCCAGTGCCAGCTTATGGCTGCTCCGTCCCCCTTCTGTTTATTTTCTGATACCTGCCCACAGAATCGTGGCTCCACCCTTCATACCTCAAGACTGCTGGAGATTTTCTGCCCATAGAGATCCAAATATATATTCTTACATTTCAGGCTGATTTCATAGGTGTTCAGAATGGTCTGATAGATGTCCAGCTAAATTCAGGAGACTGGTTGAAATAGGGTCCCCTACTCTTCCACCTTCTTGCCTAGAATCAAAATTAACCATTTTAAAGTGAACATTTCAGTGACATTTAGTGCATTTACCAGTTGTCCACCTACCACCTCTGCCTAAGTGCACAACATTCCCATCACTCCAAATTACTGTCCATTACCCATAAATCAGTTTCTCCACATTTTCCTATTGCCAGTCCCTGAAATTACCAGTCTGCACTGTGTCTCTGTTTATTATTTAGATTTCTTGTTTTTCAATATTGTCTGGACTCTTCAGGGCCCGTTGCAGTTCCATATGTATTGGATCATGTTTTCCATTTCTCCAAGGAAGGTTTCTGGAATTTTCATAATGTGTATATAGAATATCTAGACCACTTTGGTAAATGTTACCATCTTTTTAAAAATATGGTATCTTCCAACCCATAAATATGAAATGTCTTTTCTATTTATTTTGGTGTTTAATTTCTCTCAGCAGCATTTTATGCTTTTCAGTCTACAGGTCTTTCACTGCCTATGTTAAGATTTTTTCCTAGGTATTTTATTTCTTCGATGTTTCATTATATATGGAATATTTTTAACATTCCCTTGCCAGATTGTTCAGTATAGTTTATAAGGCACAACAGCTTTCATGTGTTGATACTGTGTCCTGCAACCTTCCTGACATCATTAGGACACATTCTTAGAGTAGGTTGTGTGTGTGTATTTTTTTTTTTAGAGATTTTATTTATTCATTTGACAGAGAGAGAGAGGGCACAAGCAGAGGGAAGGGCAGGCAGAGAGAGCTAGAAGCAGGCTCCCCGCTGGGCAGGGAGCCCATCCTGGGGCTGGATCTCAGGACCCTGGGACCATGACCTAAGCCGAAGGCAGAGGCTTAACCGACCCAGCCACTGAGGCGCCCTGTGTGTGTGTGTATTTTATGGAACTTTTTATACATAGTATTGTCATCAGCACATAGAGATTATTGTCCTTTTTCTTCCCCAATATGTATATTTAATTTTTCTTTTCTTTCTTTTTTTGTTTTATTGGTCCTGGTAAAACTTGCAGTACAGTGATGGATAGCATTGATAAAAGTCAGTATTTCATCACTTATTCCTTATCTTAGGGGGAAAGTATTACTCTTTCACCATTGACTATGATATGAACTGTGGGTTTTTTATAATAGACTTTTAAGAAGTTGAGGAGTTCACTTCTGTTTTAAGTATGCTGGTGTTTTTTAACATGAAAGAGAGTTCTAGGTTTTTTCAAATATTCTGTAGACAGTGAGATGATTATGTAGGTTTTTCTTTTTTTCTTTTTACTATTAATCTAGGTTATTATATTGATAGATGTTTACATGTTGAATTGTCTGTCAGTCCTTGAATTCTTGGAGTAAGTCCCACTTGTTTGTGTTGTGTAATTTTAATCTACTATGTATTTAATTGGACAGTATGTTATTGAAGATATTTGCATCTATATTAATAAGTGATATTAGTTTATCATTTTCTTCTCATGTGATGTCTTTGGTTTGGTATCAGAATAATGTTGGCCTCAGAGAATGAATTAAGAAAGGTTCTTTCGTGGGGGGACTGGGAGGGGAAAAAGAGAAGTGTTCCCTCTTCTTTCTTGTGGTGGTGGTTTAGTTACAAGGAACTTCCTCATCTTTTGTTTATCTTGGAAGTTGTAATTGGTTGACTTTTTTGTCCCCCCCCTCTTATCTGTCAACATTTTAAATATCCCGTTGTTTCTGGACTTCATGGTTTGGCTGAAAAATAAGCTCTGAAAGTTATTGTGCGTCCTTTGTATGTGATGCTTCTCCCTTCCTGCTTTCAAAATTCTCTTTTTTACCTTTGTCTTTCCACATATTGATTATGATTTGTTGCAGTGTGCGTCTCTGTTGCAGTTTTTCTTAATTGTATGTTCACTGAGTTCTTAGATTTGTAGAGTCTTGTCTTTTAACATTTAAGAAATTGTCTACCATATTTCTTTGACTGATTCTTCTGCCTCCTTCTCTTTCTCCTTTCTTCTTGGGACTCCCATTGTTCATATGTTGGCCCACATGATGTTGTACTGCAGCACCATTAGACTCTATTCACTTACACTCAGTCTTTTTCTTTGTGTTCCTCATACAGGGTAATCTCAACTGATCTCCCTACCAGTTAGCTGAATCTTACTTCCACCTATTAGACCTGATACTGAACCTCTCTATGAAATTTTTCTTTTTTTTCTTAAGATTTTATTTATTTATTTGAGAGAGAGGGAGAATATGAGAGCGGGGAAGGGCAGAGGGAGAGGAATAATCAGACTCCCTGCTGAGAAGGGAGCCCAATGTGGGGCTCGATCCCAGGACCCTGAGATCATGACCTGAGCTGAAGTCAGATGCTTAAGCAGCTGAGCCAGCTAGGTGCCCCTCTGAAATATTTCAATTCGGGTATTTTACATTTCAGCTTCAGAATGTGTTTGGTTTCTTTTTCCATCTTCTATCTCTTTACTGATATTCTGTTGTTTATTTAAAGTGTTTTCCTGATTGCGTTTTAATTCTTTGTCCATCATTCCCTTTAGCTTAAATAGTTGATTTAAAGTGTGTGTTTAGTAAGTCCAAAACTTGGGCTTCCTTAGGGCCAGGTTTTCGTTATTTATTTAATATTTATTTTTCTGAATGGGTTCTGCTTTATTGTTGTGTTGCCTCCTTTGTAACTTCTTGTTAAAAACGGGACATTTTGAATATGTTGAAACTTTGGAAATCATAATATTATTCCTTCCCAGGGTTTCTTATGTTTATGATTGTTGTGTATTTATTTCCCTCAACAAATTTTGTGTGGTGTATTTTCTTTGTTACCTGTAGCCATTGATGCCTTTGGTTCGCTTATTGGTCAGCTAGTGATTGAGCAGATTTCCTGAAACTGCTAGAACCAAACACAAATCAACTTTCCACTCTTTGTAGATGAGGTGTGTGTGTGTGTGTGTGTGTGTGTTGGGGAGTGCTTGAAACACACAGGGTAGAAGTTTAAGACAACAGTGCCTTATCCTTCACTTCTGCTTGCTCACAATCTGCTGGTCAGCTGGAGGTATACGCTTGGGGCCTTCTCAGGTCTTTTCTCATGTGTCTGGTCCTGGGCATGCCTGCAACCTTCTAGGGTCCCTAAAATATGTGGGGGATTTTCAAAGCCTTACTCCCCCGTGCACCTCACTCCCCAGTGTTTTCCTCAGGGTTTTCAGTTTGCACATTGTTTGCCCCAGTTGTTATCCTGCCCTAGGGGGCAGTGGCTACTAGACTTACCTTTAAATGTTTGTGACGAATGGCCCCTGGTTATTATCTCCATTTAGGTAGAGATCTGAGGTAGGCCAAAGAAAGCAAGCATTTTGAGCCACTCCTTCAGGGAGCCAGCAGGCAGACTTAAGAAACAAACAAATAACCAGTCACAGTTCTTTGAAGATGCCGTCTCTTCCCTGAGGTTTGGGAAGCCTGTATCCCTTGCAGACTGCCATCTTCAAGGCCACTTCCTAGCTGGGGTGCAGGGCACAGAGTCAGGGCAAGTTACAACAGCTACCTTTTTCTTGATGAAGAGGGCGCCTTGTTGCTGGAATCCCGTGATTAATTTCCAGGGTTCTTATAAAGTTCATTCTGACAGTTTTTGGTAGTTCATCTCCTGCTGGAGTCTCCTGGAGTTCTCTTCTTTGCCATTTCCATGTCACAGAGCCCCACTGTTAATCTCTATACTATTACATATTTATCAGAACTTCTATTTCACAATGGATGATTTCAACATATTTTCCGTTTATAATATTGTGTGCTTCTCTTGAAATACAACCTCTTTCTTTTTTTCTTATGGGTGAATTGTTTAAAATTCTAATGTCTATATATATTTCTTACAAATATACATATTCCTTAATAACTGCTGAATTTGGGGTTACTAACATGTTTATTTTTTCATTATTAATAGATAATTGTAGCATATATTATAGAATATAAGTATAGGACACTGATTATTAACATTGCAGTATGCCTATTCTACATGGATGCAGTTTTATAGCAAGTATTCAGAATATTTTGTTATTCTTAAAGCTTTGTTTTAATGTTGTGTACAATAAGTATTCAAAAATTGAGTTTGATATGTATTTTTCTTGTAAATATGAGCCACCTTTGTGCCTCCTCTAGGTTGCTATGATCTTTGGGATGCCTGTAGAAAATTCCGAAGTTTTCAGGGCTGTTGTAACTTTTGATCATAGGGCATTTGTAAATAGGCTTCTCTGAAAATAATTTGAACTACCTGTAATCAGCCTTTCTTTATTGTGAAATCTTACCCTTTGTGTTTCTGTTCATTTGCATACCATGGTTGACAAATGTAATAGCTCTGTAATTATGAGTTTTAATTTTGGTGTAATACTTTTCATTATAAAATACCCATCTTCAAACTCTGGTTAATAGGAAGCCTATGATTCTTTATATCTTACAGATATCTTTACCAGATGTGTGAGCAAAGAATTACCACCAAAAGAAGACATTAATAATGGAGAATTATTCCAAACATTAATTTTCTTGGAAAGACACATAAGACATGAGTTTGAGGATTTTGATTTGAGAAAAATCCAAGATGTGAACAAATTTGAGACTCAGTGGCTTTATGAAGAAAAAAATTACGTAGAAGACACTGCAACCCATTACAAAAATCTCGCCTGTAGAGAACATCAACAACATCATAAATTCTGTAATCATTTTCCTGTAAAGCGCAATGTTTCCATAGGAAGAAATACATCTGAATATTACAAACATGATACGGTGAGTAAGGCACTAAAAAACAAGGTAAGTTATTCAGGAAGCAAGTATACAAACTGTTTGGACAGTACACTTGAATTAAGCTTTCATTCACATCTGACTGAACTGCAGAGATTTCAGACCCAAGAGGAAATTCATGAAAGTAACCAAGTTGAGAAGCCTACCAAAAAGACTTCAGTTTCACTTCAAAAAATTCCTTCTAGTGTCAAAACCAACATTTTTAATAGATATGGGAAGGTTCTTATGCATCCTTCATCACGGACACAACACCAGAAAACACCCAAAAGAGAAAAACCTTACAAATGTAATGAGTGTGGGAAGGCTTTTAGCCATTGCTCAACCTTAGCTAATCATCAAAGAATTCATTCTGAGCAGAAACCTTACAAAGGTAATGAGTGTGGCAAAGCCTTTAAGAGGTTCTCAAACCTTACGAGGCATCAGAGAATCCATGCTGGAGAGAAAACATATACATGTAATATATGTGGTAAAGATTTTGCCACACAGTCACATCTCTGGGGTCATGAGCGAATTCATACTGGAGAGAAGCCTTACAAATGTAATGAGTGTGGCAAAGCCTTTTCTGATGGTTCATATCTTGCTCAACATAAGAATTTCCATTCTGGACAGAAACCTTATAAATGTAATCAGTGTGGCAAGGATTTTGCCACGCGTTCACACCTCTGTATTCATAAGAGAATTCATACTGGAGAGAAACCATTTAGATGTAATGTATGTGGTAAAAATTTTATGATACCTTCACAGCTTTGGGGTCATGAGCGAACTCATACTGGAGAGAAGCCTTACAAATGCAGCGAGTGTGGCAAAGCCTTTTCTAGTGGTTCAAATCTTGCTCAGCATAAGAGAATCCATTCTGGAGAGAAACCTTACAAATGTAATCAGTGTGGTAAGGATTTTACCACACGGTCATACCTTTGGAGTCATGAGAGAATTCATACTGGAGAGAAACCTTACAAATGTAATGAGTGTGGCAAGGCCTTTATCAGAAGTTCAAATCTTACTCAACATAAGAGAGTTCATGATGGAGAAAAACCCTATAAATGTAATGTATGTGACAAGGCCTTTAGTCAGAATGCAAGCCTTACTGTTCACCAAAGAATTCATACTGGGGAGAAACCTTATAAATGTCATGAATGTGGCAAAGCCTTTAAGCACTACTCAAGCATCAATAAGCACCATAATACACATAGAGTGAAGATACAAATATAAAGTGTGTGGTAAGACTTTTATTAAATGTTTATACCTTTGGAGTCATGAGAGAATTCATACCAGAGAGAAACCTTACAAATGTCACGAGTGTGACAAATTCTTTAAGCACTGTTCAAGCCTGAGTAGACACCAGAATATACATAGAATGAAGATATAGATGTAGAGGTTGTGGTAAGGCTTTTATTAAATGGTCTCACATTTGGAGTCATGAGGGAATGCATACTGCAAAGAAATCTCACCAAAGAATGTAGCACAGCTTTCATGCCCTGCCTCAGGATTCACCAAAGATTTCATGTCAGAGAAAACCCTACAAATACAATGAGTGCTGGTACATTGCTTAAGCAGGTTTCACAATATACTATGCATCAGAGAATTCTAGTAGTATGAACTAAGTCTAATTCTTGAAGATTAATCAAATCAAATGTTACACTCTGCAGGAAAATTAAAAGTCAAAATGTTTTAAAATTCATGAAATGATGGGTGTCAAAGGAGCAGGGATATCTGTGGAACAACCTACTTATCTTCAGTTTATACGATCTTTTTATTTTCTATTTCTTGTTGACATTACTTGATTATCAACTTTAGACTTGTTGAAAATCTGTTAATGATGTTATGTCTTCAACACAGACCTTTTGTGAATTGCCACTAGTGTCTGTGATGGTTCCTTTTGTTTTGGTCCTAATGTAAATGGTATTTTGTTTTTAATTTTTAATTCACTTGTTTATTTCTGGTATCTAGGAAGGCCGTTAACTTTTGATCATTAACCTTGTATCCTGCTGCCTTGCTATAATTTCCATATTGTGTTTTATCTACCATAATTTGGGGCATCATAAAATTGTTCAGTGCTGTGGTGACAGGTACCACTGTTTTGTTCCTGGGATAAAAAGAAAGGACTCTCTCTTACTGTACTAATATTAAGCAAATCTTACAGTCATTAAGTCCAACTTGGTCATGGGGCAGGTTCCTATTGTGTTATGTGGCAATCGGAGTATCTGCAGTTTATTAAGATCTCAGAAGCTGGGGCGCCTGGGTGGGGCAGTCTGACTCTCGGTTTCAGCTCAGATCATGATCTTGGGGTCATGAGATCAAGCCCTGCGTCTGACTCCACACTCAGTGTGGAGTCAGCTTAAGACTCTCTCTCCCTCTGCCCCTCCCCCCTGCAGTCTCTTTCTCCCTCTAAATAAATAAATATGTCTTAGAAAAAAAATCTCAGAAGCTTTATGCATAATTGGTGTTGCCGTATAGAATAAATCTCTACATATAAATGGAACCTGGTCAAAGACAAAATTATAATAGCATACCAGAATCTAAACTACAAGGACAGGGCGCCTGGGTGGCTCAGTTGGTTAAGCGACTGCCTTCGGCTCAGGTCATGATCCTGGAGTCCCGGGATCGAGTCCCGCATCGGGCTCCCTGCTGAGCAGGGAGTCTGCTTCTCCCTCTGACCCTCCTCCCTCTCATGTACTCTATCTCATTCTCTCTCTCAAATAAATAAATAAATAAAATATTTAAACTACAAGGACAGCTTATGAAAAGAGCTAAATGTAGATCTAGATTACTGGAAGAACATCATCAACCACCTTTTTCCATATATCATGTTGATTACATGATGTGATTTGTTACCACCCCCAGTAGGTTTAAGTCCCCAGTCTGCTGCTAAACAGGATATGAAGTTACTGAAATCACTCAATACTGTGCTTCATAGTCCTCTTTAGAATGGAAGTAGTAGTTTCCACCCCCAGATTTGTGATGAATAGAGTTAACTGTCTTTGCAGCACAGATTCTTAATATTGTAGGTGTTTGTCCTTTCCTGAAGAGTTTGCCTGAGGGGGAAAATGGTAACATGGTACCTGCCATTTCTTAGACAAACCTGATTGATTTTTCCTGTATCCCTTTTCCTCACATGGCTGATGCAGTTCCACAACTGCAGTACAGCCTGAGGTCGTCATGGGAGAGAGAATTCATAGGGAATGTAACATGATGGAAATCTTTACGATGCAGGATAATATAAATTTCACAAGCAGCAAAATTCCCCATAAACAAAATGGATCCATGACTTTCATGTATAATTGTCTTCTCCCCAGCTGTTGAGAGTTTGTTGAAAGTTCTACAAGTCACTTATTTGTGATCATGGGAGTCCATGCTGTGAAACCTCTTTCATGCCAACATGGCTGGTAGGCAATATTATATAATACAGCATAATCTACATAATTACCTTCTGAAGGTTCTCATCTATCCCTAGCACTGTATTTTTTTTTAACATGCAGGAAACAAATGCATGGAATGATGTGATAATAGGATTGGATTCTCTTTCAGTTATATCTAGGTTATTTGAAGACATTTAAAACAGGATACACATTGTAAATGTACTCAAGCAAAGAAATCCATCAAAAAGGTTTTTAGTGTCACAACCTGAAAGAATCCTTCCTAGTGTCAAAACCAACATTTGCATAAGGGTGGGAAAGTTTTGATCCCTTTTTTGTTGATAACAAAATAATATAGTTCTACATATTACAAAGAAACTGCAAAAGTAATGAACTTGGAAAATCTTTAGACAGGATGAATCTTTACAAATCAGAAATTCATACAGGAGAGATCTTAAAATTATACACAGTGGGGCACTGTATTTAACCAAGTCAAACATTATTAAGCATCCATAAATAAATACCTCAGAGTAATCTTCAAATGTAATATATATGGCAACGTTTTCATCCAAAATTCAATCCTTGTGAGATCACCACAATACTAATTTTGGAATGAAAACTTAAGAATTTTATGAGTAATGATACTCAAACCTTAGTAAATGTTAAGTAATTCAAATATTAAAAACTTCAGAAGCCATAAGCAGGCTTAAAACTTATGAAACACCACATAATGTGTACAGGAAACCTTACAAATTTAATATATTAAAAGCCTTTTTATCCAAAATGCCTTTATCTCCTCAATTCTTACTGTAGAATTCATCTTTAACACGTATGGATTTTAGAGAAACGTGGGTATTAACTCATAGATACTGCCTTAAAGATTATTGAAGGTATAAATCAGACCTTTGGAAAATTGACAGTCTAACTTCACTTTCCTTAGTGTTCATATAAAGAAAACTTCACGTGCCTGTCAAATGACCCTGGAAATATTGCAAAAGTATTCTTTAAATGACATCAAACTCAACAGTCTTCTAGAGAATATATACTCAAAAGAGCAGGATTATAATCCACACCTGACAGAACATTTAGAAATAGAAAAACAAAAATGCTAACATAATTTTTTATGAAAGTGTTACTCTGGATAAAAGTAAATTTAATAGGTCATTTTGTACCAAAAGGTCAATTATGAAGTGCCTAGAATTTTTCAATTAAAACAATGTATTCTCTGGGTTCTGCTATGGCCCAAACAGTATTTACTTTTTCTATTGTGTGTTTTCATTTTCTCCCCAAAATGGGTTTTGTGTACCTGTCAACTTTCTCAATACAAAACTCTCCATAAAAAAACTAAAGTGAATTTGCAATTATATTTAGAAATTAGAAATGAATTATGAGGTCACAAAAGTTTACCTCAAGTTGAGTTTATCAGTCACTTCAAGTGTGGAATACGTTGACAAACATAAAGAACAACTCAAATTAGATATGTACTCTAAAAAAATTTTTTTCTAAACCGTGGTGACCTAAATATCATGTCTCAACCCCCATCTCCCACACACCAGGTCTTGTGCCTATGAACAGCTCTAGATATGAACACAGGATTGAGCACATGATGAATGGGGCTAGAAATGGAAATGACATTCCTTAAAATGCTGGTAATGGTATATTTCACATTGGTTGAGTATTGCATTTCACATTTCAGTTTGCATCCTTTGCAAAGAAAGCCGCACTCCTTTCTTATTTCAATTGCTTACATTCTAATGCAGGAGACATTTCCTGGATCCAGCCATGGCCCCACATCACTCTCCACAGAGGACCTGGTCCCAGGCCACTCAGTACATTTTGCCTGTCGCAGGATGCACGTCTATCTCTAAGTGAAGTTTTTTTGCATTAAGTTTTTTATTTTATTTTTATTTTATGTGAGAGAGAGGGAGAGCACAGAGCAGGAGTGGGGAAGCAGAGGGAGAAGGAGAAGCAGACTCCCCGCTGAGCAGGGAGCCTGACATGGGGCTCTATCCCAGGACTCTAGGATCATGACCTGAGCCAAAGGCAGACACTTAATGGACTGAGCCACCCAGGCGCCCCAAGTTTTTTATTTTAATGCCAAATATAGTTAATAGTCAGTGTTATACTAGTTTCAGGTATACCATTTAATGATTCATCAATTGTATACCTCACACAGTGCTCATCAACACAAGTGTGCTTTAAATGGCCCTCATCTATTTCTCCCATCCCCCCACCGACTTCCCCCCTGGCAACCTTCAGGGAGTACTATGTAGTTCAAAGTCCTAAATTGGTTTATCTCTTTTTTCTTTGTTCATTTGTTTCTTAGATCCCACATATTACTGAGTCATATGCTATTTGTCTCTGACTTATTTCATTTAGCATAATACTTTCTGGATCCATTATTGTTACACACGGCAAGATTTCACTCTGTTTTATGGCTGAGTAATACTCCATTGTGTGTGTGTGTGTGTGTGTGTGTGTGTGTATGTACCACAACTTCTTTATCCATTCCTCTATCAACGGATACGTCTCTGTTCCATAACTTGGTTATTATAAACAATGCTACAATAAACATAAGGGTGCATGTATCCTTTTGAATTAGTGTTTTTATATTCTTTGGGTAAATACCAAGTAGTTCCATTACGGGTCAGAAGGTAGTTCTACTTTTATTTGAGGAGACTCCAGACTGTCATCCACAGAGTCTGTACCAGTTTGATCTCCTGCAAACAGTGCAGGAGGGTTCCTTTTTCTCCACATCCTTGCCAACACTTGTTCCTTGTCCTCAAAACAGTTTTTCAGGAATGCCACTTTCACCTTAATTAAACGTAACCACGTTAGCTTTTAACACAAGGCGGCCCACAAAACTCCAACCTTACCTCAAACTTTTGAAAACAACTTAAGTGGGCAGGCAGCAGTCCTGTTAACACAGGACGCGACAGGAATGGGAAGGGATGGAAAGTCAAAAACACGTACTGGGAGCAGAGGCACCAGGCCCCATCCAGATCCTACCCGAGATCCTGGTTACGTCCCCAGGATCCAGCCCCTGGTCGTAGGGGCTACCAGAACGCCCGAATCTCTCTGTCGACGCGCTACCCAGGCCCGGCCCAACGGTCGTAGCCTCGATTCCGACGGCCCAGACAGGACCACCCCTCCGCTGCGCCCAGCGCCGGAAGCTCTACGCCCAGTTTCCGCCTCGCTCCGCCCTACCGCCGCCCTGGCTCCGAAGATCGTATCTGTTTCCCTCCCATTACCGGAAATGCTTCTTCGAATCTCCGCCCCAACCCACCCACCGAATTCAGGGCGAAGGCCTGGCCAGTAGGAGCTTCCCGGAGCTGCGGGAAGCGCCCCACCCAGGCTCTGCCCCAAACCCGCCCATAGGCGGTGAGCATCTCGGCCAGGCCACAATTCGCATCCCGCCCATTACCGGAAGCACTCCCCACAGGCCCTTCCCAGTCCCGTCGTCCCACTTGCGCGCACGCGCAGATTTTCGCCGACCCGGAAGCGGCTAGCCGGGAGCGAAGGTCAAATCGGCTGCTGAGGGATTTTAACTTTCGCATTCCTACGTCAGAATCTCAGTCCCCAGGCCTACACCCTTGGGGTCTGGGGTCTCCGCGCACATTAGAGTCCCCTCACCCTCGTCTCCCACCGCGGTAAGTAGGGTGTCGCGGAGAGAAACACGGAACCCTGCGGCCGGCGCTGCGGCCCCGGGGGTCCCGGTGCGTTTAGGTTCACATTTTTCGGAGTCGGCCCCTGCCCGTGGTCTCCCGGCCCTCGGGCCCTCAGACGCCGCCTGCCGCGCTGTCTCCTTGCTTCACGCCGTCCCTGGGCACCCCTCCCACCCGCGCCGTGGGAGTCCAGGGAGATGGGCGCGTGCGCCTCGCGCCGCAGCCTGGCCCGGCGCGGCCCGCAGAGGCGCGGAGTCTCTCCCTGGCCCGGGGATTGCGCAGACCCGGCCGCCCTCCTGAGATGCCCCCCGCCCCGTGCAGCCCCGCGTATGGTGAGGGGACCGATGCCCAGGAGCGGCACCCTCTTCCGTGCGGGCTTTCGGACGGAAGATCGCGGGGGGTCACGGAGCAGGTCCCCTCCCCCTCCCCGCGGGGATGGGGGGCCTTGTGGAAGCCGTGACTGCGGCAGGGAGGCCAGGACAGCGGCAGACGAGGGAGAGGGGGGGAGCGGGAGGAAGAGAACGGCGGAGGAGAGATCAGTGAGACGGTCCGTAAAGAGACGGCAAGACGGAGGAGGCGGGAGGGACCTGCAGTGAGGCCGTAAGAGCGGAAAGTCGCAAGCGGAGAAAAGAAAAGAGCGAAATGGGGAGGGAAGGGAGGCGCTCCAGAAGAAGGGGAACAGAACAGTCGGGGGGCCCTTGGTTAGCAGAAGTGGGGCAACGAGGGCGAGGCACTTCTCGCAGACAGCGGGGGGAAAATGGTTGTGGGCAGACGATGCTGGGACTGAGGCGGTAGGGATGACAGCCCAGAGAGACACAGCAGTGCGAGAGCTTAGCCAGAGGGGGTGCCGGTGAGTCGGGGCGGAGGGGACGGAACTGGGAGAGCCCGGGACACGGATGGGGGCGGGGCGGAGAGAGAGGCCGAACGTCGTGGAGATCGGAGCAGTCGCAAAGCCTGGGCAGCAAGAGTCAGGGAAGGTGAAATAGGTCCCAGAGTTCCCCGGAAAGTGTAGGTGTAGGGAAAGGAAGAGACAAAAGGGGAGAAAGCAAGACTGGAGACGGGAATCACAGGAAAGGAGAAACAGTAGAGTGAATCAGGAAAGAGAAAGACACGAACAGATGAATAGACAGAAATCCTTCGGAGGGAGAAAAAGGGAACCCAGATCTGGGTGAGGGGTGGTTAATGAGACATGGGTGATTCAGTTGTGATACAGTGACCTGTGTCTCCATAATGTATTTAACTTTAAATTTGCTTGTTTGAATTGAACAGATGAGAAAGAGAATTACTGTTTATAAGACTCGTGCATTTTGTAATTATTTGCATCATAAGATAGCTTTTAAAAAATTAAACATAGAATTACCATATAATCCACCAGATTTACTTCTGTATATATTCACAAAGAACTTGAAAACAGGGATCAGAACAAGTATTTGTACTCTTATATTCATAGCATTTCTCACAGTAGTGAAAAGATACAAAGAACTTTTCTATGCAGAACACTGAAAATTTGTCTGTACTCTGCAGTTGTGCTTGAATTTGACTCTTAACCCTCAGACTTTGGTCTACCATTCCATTCCCTTTGTCAGAGACAGTAATGTTCTCCAGTTTTCTAAATCTACTGGGTAATTGACTCTCTTCATCTGATCAGCAACATGTTGAACAGTGACCACTCCTTCCTTTGAAGACTTTTTTTTTATGGCTTTCTGGACATTACAGTATCGACAGATCTTACCTATCATTTGTGTGTGTGTGTTTCAGTTTTCTTCTCTCCACCTTGTTAACTTCCGTTTCCTCTGCATATTTTTCCTCAGCACTCTCTGATTGGAGGAGTACCCCATTGGCTAGTCTTAGACCTCTTCTCTTCTCTGTCTACACCTGGTGACTTTCCATATCACCGTATCTCAGGGTTTAAACACCCCGAGGTCTCCTAGGTTCACACTCCATCTCAGACCTCTGCCCTAGATGCCACATTGTGTTCTAAGCTGTCTCTTCTGCGTCTCTGCTGGGACATCTAACAGGCATCTCCACCTTACAGTGTCCAAACATGACCCCCTGAACTCCCTCAATTGTGTTCCCTCCAGTCCTCCACCTCCCAGTTAAGAGCAGTGCCATCCTTCCTGGGGCATAGGTAACCATCTTGGCATGTTTTCAAAATACAAAGCATATTGTTTGTGTGTGTTTTCACTTATGATAGAATTTTTTTTAAAAAAAGACTTTAATCTGGGTGAAAGACTACAGGGCTTCCAAAATTCACTTGAGAGGGAGGAGAACATTGTCTGAAGACCATGGCTGGACATTCCCGATCTACTTCTGTGACCTGAACCCTGCTTGTCTCCTCCTCCCTCACTGGGATTGAGGCCCACAGATGCCTTTGCTGTTCTTGAGGCCAGGGTCAGCACTGCCCCAGGGCTTTCCCAAGGGTGGTCCCTCTGTCTAGAATTCTCTGACTCTTCAAATGCAGGTGGTGAACTTCCTTCCCCAGGTGTTTGTTGTGAGATCACCTTCTCGTGCGGCCATCTCTAATGGCCCATTGGGACACTGCCATGTCCCATTCCAGCCTCACCCCAGCCCCCCACTCTGGCGTGTAATGCCTGCTCTGCGTGGGTCACTCTGCTCCTTCCTCTTCCACTGTCTGGATACAGGGGACAGGGCCCTAGGAGGGAGCAGAGCCACAGGTGGGTGGGGTGCTGGGCTGGTCTCCTCTGGTGCTCCACCCTGACTTCCCATGGGATTGCTGAGGCATTTTGCACATTCCTCCTGTGCCCAGTCCCCAGAGATTTCTGTTCTTGTGTTTGGGGTTATGGGGCTCAGCCTCAGTGGTGTTGAAAGTGCCCCAGGTGATTCTAATCTATATCCAGCATGGAGCACTAGGACTCCAGCTCATCCATTGATGAGAACTGAAAGCAGCCCCTGATCTAGAGAGAGGCGAGGGGGGTTGTTCTCTACATGGGGTGTTATCAGGGCAGGTCTGTGACTTTAAAGGGAGGGTTAATGCAGCCCAGATCCCCACTGCTGCAGCTCATGTGTGTGCTTCACCAGGAGGGGAGTGAGTTCTGCAGGAAGAGGTCACGACACTCACTTGCTTGTCTTCCTGTAGCAGTACAGTGTCCCTGAATCCCTCCTGTGGCGGTGGGCAGCAGAGGGGGGGATCTTCCTGTGTGTGTGTTTGTGGAACAGGAAGGCGTATGTTGACCAAGTTCTAAACAGCATATATTTGACACTCAGGATCGACGTCTCAAGACCCATCTAGCCTGGCAGAGAAGCCCGGGGGAGGGAGAGGAGGAAAGCCCAGAGAGTCAGGAATGACTCATTCTCAGGTAAAGTCCTATCTCAGTTCCTTGTTCTGTCGTCTGTGTCCTCACCTCCAGGTGGCCGTGCTCGTCACACTCTGGTGTCCCTCCTGACATGTTTGCTCATGCTCACCCCAGGACCTGCCCTCAGCCCCTCGATCTGCATGCAGATTCCAGCTCATAGATACTCAATAGATACTTCCATGTATCTATTTAAATGGAGATCGAAGTTAAATGTTGTTATGTTAAAAAAATTTTTTTGCAGGGTTGTTTTTGTGAGCAGGCTAAATAGAATAACATTGACAATTCTATTTACCTTTAGTACAATTTATTCACGTTTATTGTACCAGAGCTACTGAAATGCACATGAGTAAAAAATGAGAGATAATGAAGATTTATTCTAAAAATAGATGTCATTTAGAGACTCCAGCTTTGATTTCAGTTACTTTCAATGTGTGTTTATGTGTGCACACGTGTATGGGCAGGAGCCTATAGTGTGTACAGGTTAACACTTGTAAAGCATTAGAGTAATGCTTACCATATGGGAAGTGTTCAGAACTTCAGATGGTTTTATTATTATGAGATTCCCATTTTGCAGTTTACACCTTTCATTAACACTACTATAGACTTTGTCAACCCTGAAGACACTACTCATGCCGTAGCTCATGTAGAAATTTGCTGTCATTTGGTGTGTAGAACATACTACCTAGAACTTGCATGTAGTTTACCATTTGTCGATGTTTTTGCATTTGTGTATTTTATCTGGCACAATATTGTAAAATCCTCAGTTTAGCTGAAGGAAATCCTGTGATGGAAAAGTGTAACAAATCTAAATCAGGGGTATATGACTTGCTCAAAATGATCTTTTGTGGACCTACTGAAGCCCTCATTTCTATTTGACCGTTACACCTCTCTCCTCCTCTCATTTTTATGAAATAAGTAGTTCCCTAATGGCCTCTTGGTGAAATGTGCTTTCATTTCAGGAACTGTTGACCTTCAGGGATGTGGCCATAGAATTCTCTCCGGAGGAGTGGGAGTGCCTGGACCCTGCTCAGAGGGCCTTGTACAGGGACGTGATGGTGGAGAACTACAGGAACCTGGTCTTCCTGGGTGAGGATTAGTTTCCCTACGGAGGTTGGGTACTGCTCTGGTGTATCTTTGTGTTTTTCTTGGGGATTTCTTGGGAGCCCCTTCTCTGCTTGACTGAAATTGAAGCCCTGCTGATTCAGAAATGAAAAGCTTCACAATGTGGTATCTGGGTTTTAAACGCAGATGATCATGCCGGTAGTGGTGGTGCTAGAAGGAACAAGACCTTATGTCAAAACTTTAAAATACCACATTCCCTGGTTTTACACCTGTAATTTTGATTTGGTCGTTCTGGGAAGAGAGCTGGATATCTGTCAAACATTTAAGCATTAGAAGAAGAATGTCATTGAACAAATTTGTGAAATGCTGTTCTAGACGCGCCTGTAATGAACATCCTTGGTCTCAGCTGACAAAGGACTGGGAAGACCCCAGGCCATCATCTCCTGTTTTCCATATCAGCAGGAATCTCTTTCTGAGCTGAATATTATCTCCACTGTGGAGAGTGCTTGCTCTGAAATGCTAAGAGTGGGGTAAAACTAGCAACAAAACCCAGGTGGGTGGGAAGGTGTCAAAGATGTGAACACGAATAGGGATAGATGGCAGAGAGAAAGTGACTTCCTGAAATGTCATTTGGAACATTCCCCCCGGATAGGAGAGGTGGTTGGAAAAGAAGCGTTCATTGCTCATGGACTCTCAGAGGAACTTGTTATTCTCCCTCTCCACTTTCTGCTTCGTATGTGTGTGTTTCCTGCCCTCCTCGGTGGTTCTGCTGCTCTTGTCAGCGACAAGGGCGGTCTTTAACATGACCCAGACATGCAGTTCTCTGCCCCCCTAGGGCCCTTTACTGGTTCAACCTTGGGGAGCACATGAAGGGCTCTTTGTAAGGGGTATTCTTCCTTCCTTAGCTTCTCCTTCCCTACTCCGTCCACACAGATCTGATCTGAGGCTCCCCTTCGTCCTGACTGCAGGCCTTCTCCAGCTTGCATCCCATTTCGTGTGCTGAGTGACCTGTCATGATGGGAACATCGGCTGCTCTTTTGCATCTGGGACTCCAGGCAGGAGCATGGGCTGTCTCAAGCCCTCTGCCTGTTCCGTGCCTCTACCATATCCTCATTTCCACTTTCGCCCTTCAGGGGCATGTGTACTGGGAATAGAAGGGTGTTTTGAGATTGCTTTCAGCGGTGCTGTATAGAGAGAGGGCGGGGAAAACCTTTGATTCCCAGTCCTTCAAGGGGACTGTATCTCAGGATTTGGGCCCTCAGCCTGGAGTCTGTAGGCAGACCCTAGGTCCTGTTTGAACACCCCGCAAAATCAGACCCCCTTCCTTAATTTCCTGTCTTTGTCTCCTTCTTGTAGCTCCTCCTTAGTCTGGGAGTGTGGGAAACCCTTGGCTGTCCCTGATTTCCTGGTCTCCTAAGTTTGTATGGTGTTGCCTGTGAAATTTTCTTGGTTCTGAAATACAGTTCCTCAGCGTCTGAAATTTTATCCTCATATTTTGGACAACTGGGCACCTCGTGGTGAACTCTCCCAGGAGGAATTTTCCTGGGTAAAAGAACATTCTGGATGGAGAGCACATATATTTAGATGTCAGAGCATCACCCTGCCTAGTAGAGACGTGGGCCCTGAAGCACCTGAGTAGTGTGGTCAGCATGTTCCAGGATGCTGACATTGAGTGTAGCATGAGACCGTGGCTTCTGGTTCCAGTTGTCCTTCCGGTTTTTGGCGTGTTACCAAAGTGTGTCTTGAGGACACTGTGGCAATGTTGATGGAGTACAGTAAGGAGTATACTTGATTTTGCATGAACAAGTACAGGAATTTTTTTTTAACATAATTGTGCTCCTTTGTTTTTTTTTTTAAAGATTTTATTTATTTGAGAGAGAAAGAGATCCCGAATGGGGGGGCGGGCAGGTGGAGTAGAGGGAGAAGCAGACTCCCCACTGAGCAGGGAGCCCAACGCACGACTCGATCCCAGGACTCTGGGATCATGACCCAAGCCAAAGGCAGATGCTTAACCGACTGATCCACCCAGGCGCCCTTTTTTTTTTTTTTTTTTAAGTATTTTATTTATTTATTTACCAGAGAGAGGAGAGAGGGAGAGAAAAGCAGGCTCCCCACTGAGCAAGGAGCCCGACTTGGGACTTGATCCCAAGACCCTGGAATCATGACCTGAGCCAAAGGCAGAGGCTTAACCAAACTGAGCCACCCAGGCCCCGTGAACAAGTACAGGAATTTATTCTAGGGAGAAAATTGTCTGCCTTCATAACCTCATCTGTGAGGCTGCTGCCCAAACTATCGTTCATGCAACAGTGTTCATTCCATGTGTGTGCTGTATTCCTTCTTCAACAAATAAGATTTGATTTATTGTGTTGAGGGAATTTATGAGTTCATGGTGCCTACCTTACTGAACTCTACCACATTTCTGTATTTGAAAATGTTTGTACTTTGATCTGCAGGGTATTGTAAA